CATATCATATAGTTGCATTTTTGCATTGGGATTTTGTGGGTAGATCTGTTGCAAACCCTCACGAGACACAACTCGTCCACTAGGGTGACCTAGGGGTTTAAAGGCTTGTTGCACATGCTAAGTGCAATCGTGATTCCTACGAAAGTGAGTTAGATTTTATTTTTGTTTCTTTTGTCTTTTTATTTTACTCGAGGACGAGTAAAACTTAAGTTTGGGGGAATTTAATGAGCTAAATTTATATACATATTAATAGGGAATTTTTACTTTGATATTATTGATATTTGGATGAGTTTTATGGGATTTTGTTTGATTTTACATGGTTTTCATTTTTTGCGTTGGAAAAGATTTAATTGGAAGAAATCCTACTTTTTAGAAGTAAATTGAAGAGATCAGAGACTTGAGGATCAACTTGTGCAGACTCTAGAAGTCAAGAACCAAATCTGCTATTTTACCATTAAAGAAATTGCAAAAGGAGACCAGAAACCCGACACGGGTGTAGTGTCAACACGTAACCGGGGTGTCGAAACCATGCGTTAAACGTCCAGAATCAGATTCTGTTTCTTATTTTGTGTTAACACGTAATCCGAAGTGTCAGCACTATGCGATCAGTATCCAAAATTCAGTTTCCTATTTCTGTTCCAAGTCCTACTTCTATTTCAATTAGGGTTTCTAAAATCCTATAAATACCCATCCAAATTCAGAATTAAGGGGAGTTCTGAGAGGCTGGTGGCAGCCCTCTTTTGGGCATTCTTGAAAATCAAGAGAAAGGATTCAACAATAGAAGATCAAGGAGTTCGATTTCCTCAAATTGGGTTTTGTTTTTCCTTGGGTTTTTATCTCTTGTTTGATATTTGAATATTCATAACTTTGATTTCATATTTTATTATTTTTATTATGAACTGATTTATTTTATTAATGTTATGATGTAGCCTAATCAATTCAATATAGATTTTGTGATTTTATACTTTCAATTAAAGTTATTCGCGTGAGGAGTTTATATTATTGAACTTAATGCATTGGAAGTCTGATTACCTTTCAATTGATTTAGTGATTTATGCATGAACTTGAGAAAGAATTGCGTAAAT